TCATCTGGCTGTTCACCTGGAAAATGGACAAAGAGTATACTTCACAGAAGAGTCACAGGAAGATGAGTTTGCTCAAATACTCCTGTATGTTGACGTACCCAAGTTCTACATATGGCAGGCTTCAATGAAAAAGTTCCAGAGAAGAGCTCAAGGATCCGATGTTGAAGGATATCCAGGGATAAAGTTAGGCAATGCTTTGGGACGTGTCTATACGGTTCACTCCAACAACTTTGAATGCTTTTGTTTGAGACTACTTTTGCACCACATCCGTGGCCCAACATCATATGCAACACTCAAGACAGTGAATGGACAAGTCTGCAGAACCTATCAGGAAGCGTGCAATCTCCTTGGCCTACTGGAAGATGTTGGTTGCTGGAATTACACATTAGAAGAGGCAGCAGCTACTCAATCGCCAATGAGAATGAGGAACCTGTTTGCCATCATGATTGCTACATGTGGACTTTCCAACCCAAGCCAGCTCTGGAAAAACCACCAAGAAAGTCTTTCAGAGGATCTGCTTCATCAAGCAAGAAGAGAACATCCTGGTCAAGAGATTGAGTTCATGGATGACATGTTCAACAGGGCTCTGATCATGCTGGAAGACAAAGTGATGGAGCTATGCTGAAAAAACCTGACTGATTTTGGATTGCCTTCCCAAAACCGAGAAGAACCAGTAGTTGCAAACTGGGAGTTGCTCAGAGAGATAGACTGCTCAGTTGAAGTTCTGGTGAATTTTCTTGAAGAAAATGAGCCTCAGCTGGTGCCTGATCAAGCAAATGCTTATGAACAGATCTTGCAAGCGATACAAGCGGAGCAGGGAGGTATGATCTTCCTCGATGCACCTGGCTGGACAGGAAAAACATTCCTGATCAACCTTCTGTTGGCCAAAGTACGTCATCAGGGGAAAATTGCTCTTGCTGTGGCATCCTCAGGCATTGCTGCAACACTACTAGAAGGAGGACGTACTGCACACTCAACTTTTAAACTGCCTCTCAACCTCGCTCACAACGAGAATTCAGTGTGCAACATCAAAAAAGGATCGACAAAGGCAAAACTATAAGAAAAATGCAGCTTCATAGTCCGGGATGAATGCACTATGTCTCACAAGTTAGCGTTTGAAGCATTGGACAGGACCTTGCAAGACATACGAGAAAATGACCAGCTCATGGGTGGCATTACAATGGTCATTGCTGGAGACTTTCGCCAGACCCTACCTGTCATTCCTCGAAGCACTCCAGCTGATGAACTGAATGCGTGCCTCAAGGCATCATACCTTTGAAGAAGTGTTCAGACACTCACCCTATCCACAAACATGAGAGTACATCTACAAGGAGATCAGGATGCTGGACGGTTTGCAAACCTTCAACTACAGATTGGGAATGGAACTTTCCCTGCTGATTCAGAAGGACAAATGATCATTCCTCAATGATGTGGAAATGTTGTGAAGTCCTCAACTGAGTTCACTAACAGTCCCGAAAGATGGTTGGCCTAAACCTGATGATTCCCTGCTTCTCTCATGGACAGTTCTATGTTGGATGCTCCAGAGTGGGAACTGGCAAAAATCTGTACATACTTGCTGCTAATGGCAAAACCCAAAATGTGGTTTATCTTAATACACTACAGTGAGACAATGTGGAGCCTCCCGGAGGGTGGCGTCCTACCGTGGCCTAGCAAAATAGCCGCCCGGAAGGCGGCGTTTCCTGTGGCGGAAATCTTCTTCCCAAAATCTCAGTATGTTTTTAAACCATCACGTGGCACCACTGACATGGTCTTTGCTGCGCGCCAGATACATGAAAAGTGCAAATAAGAGCGTCTTGACCTGTACATGGCCTTAATTGACCTAAACAAGGCCTTCGAATCGGTCAAGAGGGAAGCCACTGGCAGACCTTCAGTAGTTTTGGCTGCCCACCAAAAAATCATTGCATTTGTGAGGCATGAACGGCAGTGTCCTGCACAATGGCACCACTCTGAGTTATTCCCCCTCCAAACGTTGGTAAAACTAGGATGTGTACTGGCACCAACTCTCTTTTCCATTTTCTTGGTTGCCTTCCATACTAGTCACATGCATGCCAATTAAGCCGGCGGGGTGGACATCGAGTACTGGATATTGTTTTGTTTTTTTCAACATAAGACGACTCCAGGCAGGATCAAAGGTGTCTGCAGCTTCCATTACTGAACAGACGACCTCACCCTTGTCACTCACATTGAACACGACCTAAGGGAGATCCTGAACATCTACGCAGATGCGTATGCACACTTCGCCCTGAAGGTGAATGTACGTAAGACTCAGATTCTCTTTCAGCCTGTCCTGGTTCAGCCACACCTCCATCATCCATCCAGCTTAACGGTACTACCCTCTCTAATGTTACCCACTTTCGATTTCTCGGCTCCCACCTCTCCACCACCGCGGACTTCAATGAAGAGATTCAACATCGGATCAGATGTGCATCTCAAGCCTTCGGCAGACTCCATACCAGTGTCTTCAGCTGTAGAGAGCTGAAATTATCTACAAAGTTACATGTACAGTATATCGAGCAGTGGTCCTCCCCACCCTGCTATATGACAGTGAGACATGGGTCACATACAGGAGGTACCTCAGGTCAATTGAAAACTTTCACCAACGTAGTTTACGTTCCATCCTTCGAGTTCGCTGGGAAGACAAGAGAAAAAAAAATCAGTGCCACTATTCTCGCTGACACCAACTGTAGGCACATCGAGGCTACCATTATTCATGAACAACTACGTTGGATTGAAGATGTTACCCACATGAACGACAGCAGACTGCCAAAGCAGCTACTTTACAGTCACCTAACGAATAGTAAACGTAACGCTAGCGGGCAATTGAAAAGGTATAAGGATAGTCTTAAAACAAACCTGAAAAAGTGCCAAATCTACCCCCTCACCTAGGAGACAATAACTCCACATCGTAATGCTTGGAGAAGCACCACACGAGAAGGTGTCAATATTTTCGAGTTAGCCCGACTGCATACCAAGGCAGACAAGCGCCAACCCCGAAAAGATACTGCCAGAGCCCCTCCCGCACTAGCTTAGCCCTCCACACGTTCAACATCCGTGGACTGCCCTGCCGGTCCCGTATCGACCTCTCTAGTCACCTCAAAGATCTCCAACGAAGGTGACATCCTTAATAACTCATATCATTTTATCATTGCTGGATGATCGTCATACTCGATTCCGAGTTACAGCAAAGTAGTAGTAGTAGTGTGTGTGTGTGTGTGTGTGTGTGTGTGTGTGTGTGTGTGTGTGTGTCTCGCGGGAGTTACAGAAACAGTTCCCAGGGGTGAGTACATTATTTTTTTTAATTTACATTAACTTATTATTATTATTATCATTATTATTATTATCACCCTCACCATCACCAACATAACCACCAACACCACCACAATCATCACTACCACCATTACCACCACCATCATCACCACAATCCTCACTACCACCATCACCACCACCATCATCATCACTATCACCAATACCACCACCATCACCACTACCACCACCATCACCACCATCATCACCATCTTCACCATTACCATCATCTCAAGACCACCACCGTCATCACCACCATCACTATCATCACCATCACCACCACCATCATCATCATCATCACCGCCACCATCCCCATTATCATCACCATCATCAACACCACCACTATCATCACCACTAACATCACCACCATCACATCATCACCACCACCACATCTCACCACCATCATCACCATCATCACCATCACCACCATCATCACCACCGCAACTATCATCACCATCATCACCATCCTGCCACTATCATCACCACCACCATCATCACCAGCACCACCATCATCACCATCACCACCATTATCACCACCACCATCCCCATCATCATCACATCACCAGCATCATCACATCATTATTATCATCACCACCACCCATCACCATCACCATCACCGACATCACCATCACCCACCACCATCACCCATCACCATCACACCATCACCACACATTCACTACCATCACCTCCACACCACCATCACCATCACCACCATCACCATCACTATCATCACTACCATCATCACCCACTACCATCACCGCCACAATACCATTCCACCATCACCACCACTATCACCATCACCACCACCATCAACACTACCATCACCACCATCATCACCACTACCACCATCACCATCACCACCATCACCACTACCATCACCACCATGTTCACCACTACTATCACCACCACTATCGTCACCACTACCATCACCATCTCCCCACCACCACAACCATCATCACCACCACCATCACCATCACCTTCACCACTACTACCACCACCACTATCGTTACCACTACATCACCATCTCCCCATCACCACCACCATCACCACCATCTTCTTTATACAGGCAGATGTAGAACACAGCATTAATAGTCACTTTTCTCTGTTACAGGTAAGCCTATCCAGTGCTCAGTTCAGGTGTATGAGTGAGTACCTTTGTGTGTTAAGTTGGCATATTCCACACATACATTACACATAAATACCAACCACATATGTCCGTAGCGAAGGTAAGTGTTCATACTAAGTGTTCAATTAAATGAAGGAACTACGAATATGTAACACATCTGTTTTCTTAATTACATCTGTTGTGTTAATTATACAAGCCATTAAATCAGTGCTATTTCGGTGGTGCTGCGTTCTGATTGGTTAAACCAATATAGTGTAGGCGGTGCTGCGTTCTGATTGGGTAAAACCATTGTAGTGTCGGCGTTGTTGTGTTCTGATTGGCCAGTAAAGACACCGGAAATAAACACCAACTGAAGGACAGTATTTTCTTTATTTTACTATATGTTAAACTTTGTTGTATCAGAGTTTGGGAAATATTTCAACATTAATATTGTAATACATCGTTAAGTCCCCGTGCAGGTAATGAAACACTTTGTTACCTTATGATTTAATTAATGAGATGTGAAGACGGAGCATAATTAGGTACTTTACTCCTTTAATTACTGATGAAGGTATAATGGTGGAGATATTAATGGTGGAGATATTAATGGTGGAGATATTAATGGTGGAGATAGTAATGGTGGAGATAGTAATGGTGGAGATAGTAATGGTGGATATAGTAATGGTGGAGATATTAATGGTGGAGATATTAATGGTGGATATATTAATGGTGGAGATATTAATGGTGGAGATATTAATGGTGGAGATATTAATGGTGGATATATTAATGGTGGAGATAGTAATGGTGGAGATAGTAATGGTGGAGATATTAATGGTGGAGATATTAATGGTGGAGATAGTAATGGTGGAGATAGTAATGGTGGAGATAGTAATGGTGGAGATAGTAATGGTGGAGATAGTAATGGTATTAATGGTGGAGATATTAATGGTGGAGATATTAATGGTGGAGATAGTAATGGTGGAGATAGTAATGGTGGAGATAGTAATGGTATAGTAATGGTGGAGATATTAATGGGTGGAGATATTAATGGTGGAGATAGTAATATATGGTGATAGTGGATATAGTAATGGTGGAGATATTAATGGTGGAGATATTAATGGTGGATATATTAATGGTGGAGATATTAATGGTGGAGATATTAATGGTGGAGATATTAATGGTGGAGATATTAATGGTGGAGATAGTAATGGTGGAGATAGTAATGGTGGAGATAATGGTGGAGATATAGTAATGGTGGAGATATTAATGGTGGAGATATTAATGGTGGATATATTAATGGTGGAGATATTAATGGTGGAGATATTAATGGTGGAGATATTAATGGTGGAGATATTAATGGTGGAGATAGTAATGGTGGAGAGTAATGGTGGAGATATTAATGGTGGAGATAGTAATGGTGGAGATATAGTAATGGTGGAGATAGTAATGGTGGAGATATTAATGGTGGAGATATTAATGGTGGATATATTAATGGTGGAGATATTAATGGTGGAGATAGTAATGGTGGATATATTAATGGCGGAGATAGTAATGGTGGAGATATTAATGGTGGAGATAGTAATGGTGGAGATATTAATGGTGGATATATTAATGGCGGAGATAGTAATGGTGGAGATATTAATGGTGGAGATATTATTGGTGGAGATATTAATGGTGAAGATAGTAATGGTGGAGATATTAATGGTGGATATATTAATGGTGGAGATAGTAATGGTGGAGATATAATTGGTGGAGATAGTAATGGTGGAGATATTATTGGTGGACATAGTAATGGTGGAGATATTATTGGTGGAGATAGTAATGGTGGAGATAGTAATGGTGGAGATAATAATGGTGGAGATAGTAATGGTGGAGATATTAGTGGTGGAGATAGTAATGGTGGAGACTGATGGGAGGGTCAGGGGAAGGCAGGGGTAGGAGAGCCAGGGGAAGACAGGGGTAGGAGAGCCAGGGGAAGACAGGGGTAGGAGGGTCAGGGAAGACAGGGTGGGAGGTCAGGGGATGGCAGGGGTAGGAGAGCCAGGGGAAGGCATGGGTAGGAGGGTCAGGGGAAGGCAGTGGTAGGAGGGTCAGGGGATGGCAGGGGTAGGAGGGTCAGGGGATGGCAGGGGTAGGAGGGTCAGACAGTTCTGTCTTCAATGGAGCAGCCAGACGGTGTGAGATGCCTGTGTGACGCCAATAATAGCCCGGTGTCCTTAATGGCTCACTCCAGAACGTTGTCACTCAGCGCGTCTGCATCTTTCAAATACTATAATGACGTCTATTAGAGAGGCACCTGACAACATCTATAAATTTGTGGTCTGTTTTCTCAGGTAATTACTGTGTGTGTGGCGGCGGCGGAGTCATTAGTTATGAGGTGAAAGAAGATTATTAGGGGTTGAAGAAAATGTGGTGAAACTAAAATACAGTAGGAGTAGAAAGGATCTGGGCTCAACCAGATCGCTTCATCTTTCCTATTGGTGTTTTATCTTTGTTCTGCTCCCTTGGGACGTCAGACCTTTGTATTAATATTGATTTATTTATATAGTGCTGCTTATTATTATTATTTTTATTTATTATTGGAGTTAGTGAGCCCGCCCAGGTCCTTGTGTAGCTGGGAGGGTAGTCACATTTTTTTTTACTACGATGGCGTTAGTGAGCCCGCCCAGGTCCTTGTGTAGCTGGGAGGGTAGTCACATTTTTTTTTTTGCGATGGAGTCAGGGAGCCCGCCCAGGTGGTAAACAAGGAAGCAGCCTTACATAATTTTTCCTCTAAAAGTACACAGCCTGTGCACCATCAAGACTCCTGCTGTGCCTCCTTGTGACAACACACGGTAACTGGGTGCCTCGTGGGCCCAGGCTAGACCAGCAGGGTATCTTGGAGTGGCAGTGGGCCCCAGAGAGACGGCATGTGGACACGTCTTGGCGCCTACCAACCACAGCCCTACTGACTTGTGGATTAACCTTGGTAGGTATAAGTCTACAGGAGTAAACTCTAAACGAAAGATCTGCGGTGGAGCCCCGCATCAGGTATACATGCTTACATAGGTCCAGTAAGACCCTAACGGTGGTATAGGCGAAAGAGATGAACAACATCGGAACCCAACGACTACACCAGAGGATCAAGGCAAAGTAAGATGGATAGGCTACTAAGGCGAAACCCAACAAACTGAGCTATCGGCAACAAATTGCAACTCTCCCTGTCCCACGTCGTTGTAGCTACTTGCACCACTCGATCAGGAAAAGGAAGGGCCGATTTGTGTGGTTGCAGCCTGCGCTCTTGCCTCACCACATAAATCAACTCATGCGCAGCCACCATCCAGCTCATCATACTTTTTATAATTAGCAAAACCCCTTTACACCCAAAACTCCAATGGCGACAGACGAGTGGCGACGGGGACAGATAGAGATAACTGCCAGGAGTCTCTAGTCACACCTCTGCACATAGGTGGCATAGATAAGATGTTCGTTTATGTATTGGGATTTAGGCAGCAATGCAATCCGGTCCTGTCTGTGCGACTGAGCAGCCCTTTCGAGGAGCCATTCTGCTCACCCCACATGGAGAGGGGGCTAGAAAAGGTGCCCTAAACATAGCCTGCCTAAGAAAACAACCTGACTGGGCAACTGAACCCAGTAAGGTCATTCTAATGTGGGCGAAAACATAATCATAATCACAGATCAAAGCAAGAACAAGCTATACAACCTCTTATGGTCGCTGCATGGAATTTCAGGAACCTTCTGGATACTAACACAAATGAGCGTCCTGAAAGAAAAATCGCCCATGTGGCAAAAGAGCTGGCTAGGTATAATATCGATATTGCAGCCATTAGTGAATCCCAGCTCCCAGACGAGGGTCGACTCACAGAACGGACATCCGGTTATACCTTCTTCTGGAAGCCTGTTGCGGAGAGAAACCGCATTAATGGAGTTGGCTTTGTCATTTGCCAATCCACCCTACATATGCTAACTGAAATGCCAGTTGGTATAAACGAGCGCCTCATGACGCCCTGAGTCCCACTACATCACTTACGTCATGCCTTCCTCATCAGTGCATACGCCCTTACACTGGATGCAGAGGATGACATCAAGGAGGCCTTTGACTCCGACCTTGACAGAATGCTAACCTCTATCCCCAGAGAAGATAACGTTGTGCTCCTAGGTGACTTCAATGCCAGAGTTGGCAGAGATGCTGACTTATGGCAGAGAACCATAGGGAGAAACGGAGTGGGCAAATATAATCCCAACTGCCTACGTCTCCCTAACAAGTGTGGTGAACACAACCTCCTTATCTCTAACACCATGTTAGGCAGGCCGACAAGCTCAAGGGTTCTTGGCAACATCTACGATCCAAACATTGGCATCTCAGTAACTACATCATTATCAGAGAAAGAGATAACCGAGATGTCGTCATCACCTGAGCCATGCGTGGCTCAATCCACTGTGTCACGTATCATCGGCTGGTCTGAGTCACTCTCCTCTCACGTCGTCCCAAAACGTCGAAGGCAACAAGGCTTTAGAAGAGGTTTTAACACAAAGAGACTGGAGGATCAAGCAATAGCATATGCTTCCAGAGAGCAGCTTGGGGATGGGCTGATGCACAACCCAAATCCCATTGCCGAATGGGGCATCCTCGACACTCTCGTGACAAAAACCTGTGAAAGACCCTCTGCCGGATCGAAAGAGTACATCAGGATTGGTTTAATGAAAATCTCCCGGAAATTAAAGCAATCGTCGATGGTAAATGTGCTGGTTTAACTGACTGGCAAAACAACCCTTAGTCTCAGACCAAAGCTGATACCTTCCACAAGAAGAAAGTGGCGCCCCATCGCGAGATCCGCAATATAAATAACGAATGGCGGAAAAATAAAGTATGTGAAATGCAAAAAAATTGCAGATCAACACAAGATGCACAAATTTTTCAATTCCACTAAGACGTTGTTTGGCCCAATTGCTCATGGTGCAGCCCCCTCTGCTTATCCAACGGTAACTCCCTAATTAAAGACGAAGTTTATCCGTCAACACTGGAAAGAGCACTACCATTTGCTGCTCAACCGAAACACTGATGTAGATGTCCTTACTACTCAGCAGGTCCCTCAGCACCCACAGCTGACCCACCTCATCTATCCTCCATCACTGGATGAGGTACCTACTGTCATTAAACAGATGAAAATTAACATAGCCACAGGGCCTGGTGGAATCCCAGCCGAGGTGTATAAATCAGGAGGATCTCTGCTTTCCATCCGCCTCCACTCTCTCCTGGAGAATATATGGGAAAAGGAGGAAATCCCCAAAGATCTTAAATACGCCTCCACCGTCAATATTTATAAGAACAAGGGAGACCAGCCAGACTGTGGCAACTACCGTGGGGTCTCGCAGCTGTCAGTAGCTGGCAAGATTATCGCCCGAGTCATCCTAAACAGACTTTTCCCTGAGGCAGAAAACTTCCTCCCAGAATTACGATGTGGCTTTAGACCATCACGTGGCACCATTGACATGTTCTTTGCTGCCTGCTAGATACAGGATAAGTGCAGAGAACAGCGTCGTAACCTGTACATGAACTGCACTTTTCCTGTATCTGGCAGAGCAGTAAAGATCAACAGGGAATCCCCCTGGCAGACCCTCAGTCATTTTGGCTGCCCAAGAAAATTCATCTCCATTATTAGGCAATTCCACGATGTCATGAACGACAGTATCGTACACAATGGCATCTAATCTGAGTTCTTCTCCATCGAAACGGAGGTAAAACAAGGAAGTGTACTGGCACCAACTCTCTTTTCCATTTTCTTGGGTGCCTTCCTTATTCGTGCCAGTGCCGATTTAGCCGGCGGGGTGGACATCCAGTACCGGATGAAGGGACTTTTCAATATAAGACGACTCTAGGCAAGAACAAAGGTGTCGGTAACTTCCATTACTGACTTCAGTATGCAGATGATCTCACCCCGTCGCTCACACTGAACGCGACCTATAGGAAATCGTGAACACCTACGCATATGCAAACTTCGACCTTGAGGGAATGACCATAAGACTCAGATTCTTCTTTAGCCGGCCCCTGGTTTAACCACACCTTCACCGTCCATCCAGGTTAACGGTACTACCCTCTCTAATGTTACCCACTGCATGTGGTCCTCTCCACGCTGCTGTATGGCAGCGAGACATAAATCACATACAGGAAGCACCTTGAGACACTTGAAAATTGTCTCCAGCGTAGTCTATGTTCCAGCCTCCGAGTTCGCTGGGAAGACAAGAGAACAAATACCAGTATTCTCGTTGACACCAACTGTAGGAGCATCGAGGCTACCATTATCAATGAACAACTAAATTGGACTAGCCATGCTTCCTACGTGGACGACAATAGAATGCCAAAGCAGTTACTTCACTGTAATGGTAAATCTAACGCTGGTGGGCAACGGAAAAGGTATAAGGATAGTCTTAAGAGAAACCTGAAAAGTGCCAAATCGACCCCCTCATAACACTTGGAGGAGGAGCACACGAGAAGGTGCCAATACTTTCGATTTAGCCCAATTCCATACCGAGGCAGATGAGCGCTAACGCCGGAAAGATGCTTCTGCCGCCCCTCCGCAAGTAGATGTATCCTTCCACACCTGTAACATCTGTGGACGACACTACTGAACCCGGCCTCTTGAGTCACCTCACAGCTCACCAATGAAGGTGTCATATTTAATAATTCATATCATTGTATCATAGCTGGATGATCGTAAATTCTCGATTTCTAGTAACAGCAAAGTAGAAATTAGTAGTAGTTTGTGTGTGTATGTGTGAGTGTGTGTGTGTGAACCCGGGTTCGATCCCGGGCTGGGTGAAACTATGGACAGCTTCTTTACGTCATTTGCCTCTGTCTACCCAGCAGTAATTGGGAACCTGGATGTTAATTGATTTGCGGATCGTGTTCCGGGGTAATGGTGAGCCAGTGCAGTTGGCGAGTTGTCCGGTCTTTTTGGACTATTCCTTGACACTGGGTCGTGTAACTCGTTAACTCAGGGTGTGGTTGTTGTGTTGCGACAGCTTCTACACCTTAAACAAATTCACGCCTAGGTGGCCCTAGGGCCGGCCACCCTCGTCACAGAAGAGGCAACCATTGTTATTATCAATTAGTTAAAGTGAGTGCATGGTTGTCGGGGCATTTTTTATAACCTGTGTGTGTAGGACATGATGTGTGTGCGTTAGAGTTGTCTTAGTATCTTACCAATTCCTACCCAGTGCCCTCCATAGTGTCCAACACTGCCCTATACAATGTCCTACATAGTGTCCAACACTGCCATACACAGTGCCCTACACAATGTCCAACAGGGTCCTACACAGTGTCCTACTCACTAAACTACACAGTGGCCAACAGTGTCCTACACAGTGTCTAACAGTGCCCTACACATTGTCCTACACAGTGTCCAAAAGTGCCCTAGAGTGTCCTACACATTGTCCAACAGTGCCCTACACAATGTCCTACACAGTGTCCAACAGTGTCCTGCAAAGTGGCCAACAGTGTCCTACATAATATCCAAAAGTTTCCAACGGTGTCCTACACATTGTCCAACAGTGTCCTACAGTTTCCTACACAGTGGTCAACAGTTGCCTACACAGTGTCCTAAACAGTGTTAATTGTGTTCTACACAGTATCCAACAATGTCCTACAAAGTATCCAACAATGTCCTACACAGTATCCAACAATGTCCTACACAGTATCCAACAATGTCCTACACAGTATCCAACAATGTCCTACACAGTATCCAACAATGTCCTACACAGTATCCAACAATGTCCTACACAGTATCCAACAATGTCCTACACAGTATCCAACAGTGTCCTACACAGTCTCCAACAGTGTCCTACACAGTATCCAACAATGTCCTACACAGTCTCCAACAGTGTCCTACACAGTATCCAACAGTGTCCTACACAGTATCCAACAATGTCCTACACAGTCTCCAACAATGTCCTACACAGTATCCAACAATGTCCTACACAGTATCCAACAGTGTCCTACACAGTCTCCAACAGTGTCCTACACAGTATCCAACAATGTCCTACACAGTCTCCAACAGTGTCCTGTCAGCATGTGTCCACCACACAGTGTCCACACAGTCTCCAACAGTGTATCCACAATGTCCCACACAGTGTTCAACAGTGTCCATAGTCCAGTGTCCCACACAGTCTCCAACAGTGTCCCACACAGCATCCAACAATGTCCCACACAGTCTCCAACAGTGTCCCACACAGTATCCAACAATGTCCCACACAGTATCCAACACTGTCCCACACAGCATCCAACAATGTCCTGCACAGTATCCAACAATGTCCCACACAGTATCCAACAATGTCCTACACAGTATCCAACAATGTCAGCATCCAACAATGTCCCACACAGTATCCAACAATGTCCTACACAGTATCCAACACTGTCCTACACAGTATCCAACAATGTCCTACACAGTCTCCAACAGTGTCCTACACAGTATCCAACAATGTCCTACACAGTATCCAACAGTGTCCTACACAGTATCCAACAATGTCCTACACAGTATCCAACAATGTCCTACACAGTATCCAACACTGTCCAACACAGTATCCAACAATGTCCTACACAGTCTCCAACAGTGTCCTACACAGTATCCAACAATGTCCTACACAGTATCCAACAATGTCCTACACAGTATCCAACAATGTCCTACACAGTATCCAACAATGTCCTACACAGTATCCAACAATGTCCTACACAGTATCCAACAATGTCCGATACAGTATCCAACAGTGTCCTACACAGTGTCCTACACAGTGTCCAACAGTATCCTATACAGTGTCCAACAGTGTCCTACTCAGAGTCCTACAAAATATCCAACAGTGTCCTACACGGTCTCCAACAGTGTAGAAAAGAGTGTCCAACAGTGTCCTACACAGCATCTAACAGTGTCCTACACAGTGTCCAAAAGTGTTCTATACAGTGTCCAACAGTGTCCTACTCAGAGTCCTACAAAATATCCAACAGTGTCCTACACGGTCTCCAACAGTGTAGAAAAGAGTGTCCAACAGTGTCCTACACAGCATCTAACAGTGTCCTACACAGCATACACCAGTGTCCTACACAGTCTCCAGCAGTGTCCCCACACAGTGTCCAACAGTGTCCTGTACAGTGTCCAACAGTGTCCTGTACAGTGTCCAACACTGTCCTACACAGTCTCCAACAGTGTCCTACACAGTCTCCAACAGTGTCCTACACAGTCTCCAACAGTGTCCTACACAGTATCCAACAGTGTCCTACACGGTCTCCAACAGTGTCCTACACAGTATCCAACAGTGTCCTACACAGTCTCCAATAGTGTCCTACACAGTCTCCAACAGTGTCCTACACAGTCTCAACAGTGTCCTACACAGTATCCAACAGTGTCCTACACGGTCTCCAACCTACACAGTATCAATAGTGTCACAGTCTCAACAGTGTCCTACAGTCTCCAACAGTGTCTACACGGTCTCCAACTTAGTGTAGAAAGAGTGTCCAACAGTGTCCTACACAGTGTCCAACAGTGTCCTACACAGTGTCCAACAGTGTCCTACACAGTGTCCAACAGTGTCCTACACAGTGTCCAACAGTGTCCTACACAGTGTTCAACAGTGTCCTACACAGTGTCCAACAGTGTCCTACACAGTGTTCAACAGTGTCCTACACAGTGTTCAACAGTGTCCTACACAGTGTTCAACAGTGTCCTACACAGTGTCCAACAGTGTCCTACACAGTGTCCAATAGTGTTTTACACAGTCTCCAACAGTGTCCTACACAGTCTCCAACAGTGTCCTCCTACACAGTGTCCAACAGTGTCCTACACAGTGTCCAATAGTGTTTTACACAGTCTCCAACAGTGTCCTACACAGTCTCCAACAGTGTCCTGCGACACAGTATCCAACAGTGTCCTATACAATGTCCAACAGTGTCCTACACAGTCTCCAACAGTGTCCTATACAGCATACACCAGTGTCCCCAGCACAGTTCCAGCAGTGTCCCCCACACAGTGTCCAACAGTGTCCTGTACAGTGTCCAAACAATGTCTTTACATGGTGTCCATAAATAGTACTCCACACAGTCTCCAATAGTGTCCTGACAGTTCCAACAGTGTCCCACACAGCTCCAAATGTGTCCACACAGTTCCAATAGGTCCCACATAGTCTCCAACAGTGTCCCACACAGTCTCCACAGTGTCCTCACACGGTTCCAAGCAGGCAGAAAAGAGTGTCCAACAGTGTCCCACACAGTCTCCAACAGTGTCCCACAGCCCCAGTAACCCCACAGCAAGTCCAACAGTGTCCCACACAGTGTCCGGGCTTCACAGTGTCCTGCACAGTGTCCAAACAATGTTCCACATAGTTCCAACAGTCCTACACAGCATACACCAGTGTCCTACACAGTTCCAGCAGTGTCCCCACACAGTGTCCAACAGTGTCCACACAGTTCAACAGTGTCCCACACAGTTCCCAACCAGTGTCCTGCCACAGTCTCCTGCAACAGTGTCCCACACATTTCTCCAACAGTGTCTCATACACAGTTCTTAACAGTGTCCCACACAGCTCCAACAGTGTCCCACACACAGTCTCCAACAGTGTCCCACACGCTCCAACAGTGTCCTGTACAGTGTCCAACAATGTCTTACACAGTCTCCAACAGGTGTCCCACATACCCAACAGTGTCCCACACAGTCTCCAACAGTGTCCCACACAGTCTCCAACAGTGTCCCACAGTTCCAACAGTGTCCCACACAGTCTCCAACAGTGTCCCACACAGTCTCCAAGCACAGTGTCCCACACAGTTCCAACAGTGTCCCAGCACAGTCTCCAACAGTGTCCCACACACAGTCCCAACAGGTCCCACACAGTCTCCAACAGTGTCCCACACGGTCTCCAACAGTGTCCCACACAGTCTCCAACAGAATCCCACACGGTCTCCAACAGTGTAGAAAAGAGTGTCCAACAGTGTCCCACACAGTCTCCAATAGTGTCCTGCCAATAGTCTCCAATAGTAGTCCTGGCTATTCCAACAGTGTCCCACACAGTCTCCAACAGTGTCCCACATTTGCTCCAACAGTGTCCCACACAGTCTCCAACAGTGTCCCACACAGTCTCCAACAGTGTCCCACAGTCTCCAACAGTGTCCCACACAGTCTCCACAGTGTGCAGAAAAGAGGTCCAACAGTGTCCCACACAGTCTCCAACAGTGTCCCACACAGCTCCCAACAGTGTCCCACACGGTCTCCAACAGTGTCCCACAGTCTCCAACAGTGTCCCACATGGTCTCCAAACAGTGTAGAAAAGAGTGTCCAACAGTGTCCCACACAGTTCCACACAGTGTCCCACAGTCTCCACAGTGTCCCCACACAGTCTCCAACAGTGTCCCACACAGTCTCCCCAACAGTGTCCCACACGGTCTCCAACAGTGTCCCACACAGTCTCCAACAGTGTCCCACACAGTCTCCAACAGTGTCCCACACAGTGTTCAACAGTGTCCCACACAGTATCCAATGCAACCTACACAGTGTCCCGCAGCAACCCACACAGCATCCAACAGTGTCCCATACAGTGTCCATCAGTGCGTCCCACAGTATCCAACAGTGTCCTACACAGTGTCCCGCAGTGTCCCACACAGTATCCAACAGTGTCCATACAGTGTCCATCATGTCCCCACACAGCATCCAACAGTGTCCCATACAGTGTCCATCAGTGTCCCACACAGTCTCCAACAGTGTCCCCACACAGTTCCAACAGTGTCCCACACAGTCTCCAACAGTGTCCCACACAGTTCCAACAGCAGTCCCACACGGCTCCCCAACAGTGTATGAAATCCAACAGTGTCCCACACAGCATACACCAGTGTCCTACACAGTTCCAACAGGTCCCACACAGTTCCACAGTGTCCCACACAGTCTCCAACAGTGTCCCACAGTCTCCAACAGTGTCCCAGCACAGTCTCCATTAGTGTCCCACACAGCTCTCAACAGTGTCCCATGCACAGTTCTTAACAGTGTCCTACACGGCTCCCCAACACAGTGTAGAAAAGAGTGTCCAAACAGTGTCCCACACAGCATCTAACAGTGTCCCACACACAGCACACACCAGTGTCCCACACAGTCTCCAGCAGTGTCCCCACAGTGTCCAACAGTGTCCCACACAGTGTTCAACAGTGTCCTGTACAGCATCCAACAATGTCTTACACATTGTCTCCAATAGTGTCCCAAGCACAGTCTCCAACAGTAAGTCCTACACAGTCTCCAACAGTCCCACACAGTCTCCAACAGGCATGTCCCACAGTCTCCACAGTGTCCCACACAGTCTCCAACAGTGTCTTCTTGTACAGTGTCCAACAATGTCTTACAGTCTCCAACAGTGTCCCACACAGTCTCCAAACAATGTCCCACACAGTCTCCAATAGTGTCCCCACACAGTCTCCAATAGTGTCCCATAGTCTCCACAGTGTCCCACACAGTCTCCAACAGTGTCCCACACAGCATACACCAGTGTCCTACACAGTCTCCAGTAGTGTCCCCACACAGTGTCCAACAGCAACCCACACAGTGTTCAACAGTGTCCCACACACAGCAAGTTCAACAGGTCCTGTACAGTGTCCAACAATGTCTTCACATGGCCAGTCTCCACAGTGCCCACACAGTCCCAACAGTGTCCCACACAGTCTCCAACAGTGTCCCACACAGTCCAACAGTGTCCCACAGTTCCAACAGTGTCCTGGCTACAGTCTCCAACAGTGTCCCACACAGTCTCCAACAGTGTCCCACACAGTCTCCAACAGTGTCCCCACACAGTTCCAACAGTGTCCCACACAGTTCCCAGTGTCCCACACAGTCTCCAACAGTGTCCCACACAGTCTCCAACAGTGTCCCACACAGCTCCACACAGTGTCCCACACAGTTCCAACAGTGTCCCCACACAGTCTCCAATAGTGTCCCACACAGTTTTCAACAGTGTCCCACATTGAAATTCCAACAGTGTCCCACACAGTCTCCAACAGTGTCCTACACAGTCTCCAACAGTGTCCCAACACAGTCTCCAACAGTGTCCCACACAGTTCCAAATATGTCCCACACAGTCTCCAATAGTGTCCCACACAGTTTTCAACAGTGTCCCACACAGGTTCCAACAGTGTCCCACATAGTCTCCAACAGTGTCCCACACAGTCTCCAACAGTGTCCCACATTAGCTCCATTTAGTGTCCTACATGTGTTCAACAGTGTCCCACACGGTGCTCCAACAGGGTGTCCCACACAGTCTCCACAGTGTCCCACACAGTCTCCAACAGTGTCCCACACAGTGTTCAACAGTGTCCCACAGTCTCCAACAGTGTCCTACACAGTGTACAACAGTGCTGTCCCACACAGTCTCCAACAGCAAGTCCCACACAGTCTCCAACAGTGTCCTACACAGTCTCCAACAGTGTCCTACACAGTCTCCAACAGTGTCTCACACAGTCTCCAACAGTGTCCCACACAGTCTCCAACAGTGCCCCACACAGTCTCCAACAGTGTCCTACACGGTCTCCAACAGTGTCCTACACAGTCTCCAACAGTGTCCCACACGGTCTCCAACAGTGTAGAAGATGTCCCACAGTGTCCTACACAGTTCCAATAGTGTCCCACACAGTCTCCAATAGTGTCCCACACAGCTCCAACAGTGTCCCACACAGTCTCCAACAGGTCCCGCCACGGTTCCAACAGTGTCCCACAGTCTCCACAGTCCCACACAGTCTCCAACAGCCCTACACAGTCTCCAACAGTGTCCCACACAGCGTCTCCAAACACAGTGCAGAAAAGAGTGTCCAACAGTGTCCCACACAGTCTCCAATAGGTGTCCCTACACAGCTCCAACAGTGTCCCACACTTGTCTCCAACAACAGTGTCCCACATAAATTCCTTAACAGTGTCCCACACGGTCTCCAACAGTGCAGAAAAAAGAGGTCCAACAGTGTCCCACACACAGTCTCCAATAGTGTCCCACACAGTCTCCAATAGTGTCCCACACAGTCTCCAACAGTGTCCCACACAGTCTCCACCAGTGTCCCACACTTGGTCTCCAACAGTGTCCCACATTGTCTCCAACAGTGTCCCACACATAGTCTCCAACAGTGTCCCACATAGTGTTCAACAGTGTCCTGACAGTATCCAACAGTGTCCCACATAGTGTCCCAGTGTCCCACAGTATCCAACAGTGTCCCATACAGTGTCCATAGTTGTCCCACACAGCATCCAACAGTGTCCCACACACAGTGTCCCAGAAAGTGTCCTGGCCACACAGCATCCAACAGTGTCCCATACAGTGTCCATCATGTCCCACACAGCATCCAACAGTGTCCTATACAGTGTCCACTTCATGTCCTACACAGTCTCCAACAACAGTGTCCCACACAGTCTCCAACAGTGTCCCACACAGTCTCCAACAGTGTCCCACACAATCTCCACAGTGCTGTCCTACACGGTCTCCAACAGTGTAGAAAAGAGGTCCAACAGTGTCCCACACAGCATACACCAGTGTCCTACACAGTCTCCAACAGTGTCCCACACAGTCTCCATTAGGTGTCCTACACAGTTCCAGCTGGTGCAACCACACAGTCGCCAACAGTGTCCCACACAGTCTTGGGGACAGTGTCCACAGTCTCCAACAGTGTCCTACACAGTCTCCAACAGTGTCCTACACAGTCTCCAATAGTGTCCTACACAGTCTCCAACAGTGTCCTACACAGTCTCCAACAGTGTCCTACACAGTCTCCAACAGTGTCCTACACAGTCTCCAACAGTGTCCTACACAGTCTCCAACAGTGTCCTACACAGTCGCCAACAGTGTCCTACACAGTCTCCAACAGTGTCCTACACAGTCTCCAACAGTGTCCTACACAGTCTCCAACAGTGTCCTACACGGTCTCCAACAGTGTAGAAAAGAGTGTCCAACAGTGTCCTACACAGCATCTAACAGTGTCCTACACAGCATACACCAGTGTCCTACACAGTCTCCAGCAGTGACCCCACACAGTGTCCAACAGTGTCCTACACAGTGTTCAACAGTGTCCTGTACAGTGTCCAACAATGTCTTACACAGTCTCCAATAGTGTCCTACACAGTCTCCAACAGTGTCCTACACAGTCTCCAACAGTGTCCTACACAGTCTCCAACAGTGTCCTACACAGTCTCCAACAGTGTCCTACACAGTCTCCAACAGTGTCTTGTACAGTGTCCAACAATGTCTTACACAGTCTCCAACAGTGTCCTACACAGTCTCCAACAGTGTCCTACACAGTCTCCAATAGTGTCCTACACAGTCTCCAATAGTGTCCTACACAGTCTCCAATAGTGTCCTACACAGTCTCCAACAGTGTCCTACACAGCATACACCAGTGTCCTACACAGTCTCCAGCAGTGTCCCCACACAGTGTCCAACAGTGTCCTACACAGTGTTCAACAGTGTCCTACACAGTGTTCAACAGTGTCCTGTACAGTGTCCAACAATGTCTTACACAGTCTCCAATAGTGTCCTACACAGTCTCCAACAGTGTTCCTACACAGTTCTCCAATAGTGTCCTACACAGTCTCCAACAGTGTCCTACACAGTCTCCAACAGTGTCCTACACAGTCTCCAACAGTGTCCTACACAGTGTTCAACAGTGTCCTACACAGTGTCCAACAGTGTCCTACACAGTGTACAACAGTGTCCTATACAGTCTCCAACAGTGCCCTACACAGTCTCCAACAGTGCCCTACACAGTCTCCAACAGTGCCCTACACAGTCTCCACCAGTGTCCTACACAGTCTCCAACAGTGCCCTACACAGTCTCCAACAGTGTCCTACACAGTCTCCAACAGTGCCCTACACAGTCTCCAACAGTGTCCTACACAGTCTTCAACAGTGTCCTACACAGTGTTCAACAGTGTCCTACACAGTGTCCAACAGTGTCCTACACAGTGTTCAACAGTGTCCTACACAGTGTCCAACAGTGTCCTACACAGTGTCCAACAGTGTCCTACACAGTGTTCAACAGTGTCCTACACAGTGTTCAACAGTGTCCTACACAGTGTTCAACAGTGTCCTACACAGTGTTCAACAGTGTCCCACACAGGTTCAACAGTGTCCCACACAGTTCCACAGTGTCCTACACAGTGTTCAACAGTGTCCCACACAGTGTTCAACAGTGTCCTACACAGTTCCAATAGTGTCCCACACAGTCTCCAAATAGCAATCCCACATTGTTCCAATGAAATGCCCCACACAGTCTCCAATATGTCCTACACAGTTCCAAGCCTGAAAGTGTCCCACACAGTGTCTACACAGTGTCCTACACAGTGTCCAACAGTGTCCTACACAGTGTTCAACAGTGTCCTACACAGTGTCCAACAGTGTCCTACACAGTGTTCAACAGTGTCCTACACAGTGTCCAACAGTGTCCTACACAGTGTTCAACAGTGTCCTACACAGTGTACAACAGTGTCCTACACAGTGTTCAACAGTGTCCTACACAGTGTTCAACAGTGTCCTACACAGTGTTCAACAGTGTCCTACACAGTGTCCAACAGTGTCCTACACAGTGTCCAATAGTGTTTTACACAGTCTCCAACAGTGTCCTACACAGTCTCCAACAGTGTCCTGCGACACAGTATCCAACAGTGTCCTATACAATGTCCAACAGTGTCCTACACAGTCTCCAACAGTGTCCTATACAGTGTCCAACAGTGCCCTACTCAGTGTCCTACCAAATATCCAACAGTGTCATACACAGTGTCCAACCGTCTCCTACACAGTGTCATATACAGTATCCAACAGTGTCCCCACACACACAGTCTCCAACAGTGTCCCACACAGTCTCCAACAGTGTCCCACACAGCCCCAACAGTGTCCCACACAGTCTCCAACAGTGTCCCCACACGGTCTCCAACAGTGTCCTACACAGTCTCCAACAGTGTCCCACACGGTCTCCAACAGTGTAGAAAAGAGTGTCCAACAGTGTCCTACACAGTCTCCACAGGTCCTACACAGCTCCCCAATAGTGTCCCACACAGTCCCCAACAGTGTCCTACACAGTCTCCAAACAGTGTCCTGCCACTGTCTCCAACAGGTCCTACACAGTCTCCAACAGTGTCCCACACACAGTTCCAACAGTGTCCTGCACAGTCTCCAACAGTGTCCCACACAGTCTCCAACAGTGCAGAAAGAGTGTCCAACAGTGTCCCACACAGTCTCCAACAGTGTCCCACACACAGTCTCCAACAGTGTCCCACACGGTTCCAGTCATGTCCTACACAGTTCCAACAGTGTCCGACACTTGTCCCAACAGTGCAGAAAAGAGTGTCCAACAGTGTCCCACAGTCTCCACAGTGTCCCACACAGTTCCATTAGTGTCCCACACAGTCTCCGCAACAGTAATCCCACATAGTCTCCAACAGTGTCCCACACGGTCTCCATAACAGTGTGGGGTCCTGGCCATTAAATCTCCAACAGTCCCTCCACACAGTCTCCAACAGCAATCCCACACATGGTGTTCAACAGTGTCCCACATTGTGCATCCAACAGCAAGTCCCACACAGTGCGTCCTCAAAGCAGTGTCCCACACAGCATCCAACAGTGTCCCATACAGTGTCCATCAGTGTCCCACACAGCATCCAACAGTGTCCCACACAGTGTCCCACAGCAACCACACAGCATCCAACAGTGTCCCATACAGTGTCCATCAGTGTCCCACACACAGTATCCAACAGTGTCCCATACAGTGTCCATCAGTGTCCCACACAGTCTCCAGTCAGTGTCCTACACAGTCTCCAACAGTCCCCACACAGTCTCCAACAGTGAACCTTGGCCACAGTCTCCAATGGTGTCCCACACTGGTCTCCAACAGTGTAGAAAAGAGTGTCCAACAGTGTCCCACAGATACACCAGTGTCCCACACAGTCTCCAACAGTGTCCCACAGTCTCCACAGTGTCCTACACAGTCTCCAACAGTGTCCCACACAGTCTCCAACAGTGTCCCACACAGTCTCCAATAGTGTCCCACACAGTCTCCAGCCAGTGTCCCACAGTCTCCAACAGTGTCCCCACACGGTCTCCAACAGTGTAGAAAGAGTGTCCAACAGTGTCCTACACAGCATCTAACAGTGTCTTTACACAGCATGGCCATCTTCAAAGTGTCCCACACCCTGTCTCCAAGTAGTGTCCCCCACACAGTGTCCACAGTGTCCCACACAGTGTTCAAACAGTGTCCTGTACAGTGTCCAACAATGTCTTACATAGTCTCCAATAGTGTCCCACACACAGTCTCCAATAGTGTCCCACACAGTCTCCACAGTGTCCCACACAGTCTCCAACAGTGTCCCTGCCACAGTCTCCAACAGTGTCCCACACAGTTCCCACAGTGTCTTGTACAGTGTCCAACAATGTCCACAGTCTCCAACAGTGTCCCACATGTGTCTCCAACAGTGTCCCACACAGTCTCCAATAGTGTCCTACACAGTCTCCACAGTGTCCCACACAGTCTCCAATAGTGTCCCACATTGGCTCCAACAACAGTGTCCTGTATGACAGCATACACCAGTGCGTCCTACACAGCTCCCAGCAGTGTCCCCACACAGTGTCCAACAGTGTCCCACACAGTGTTCAACAGCAAGTCCCACAGGACAGTGTTCAACAGTGTCCTGTGCTAGCAAGTCCAAACAATGTCTTACACAGTCTCCAATAGTGTCCCACACAGTCTCCAACAGTGTCCCACACAGTTCCAATAGTGTCCCACACAGTTCCAACAGGCAACCCCACACAAATCTCCAACAGTGTCCCACACAGTCTCCAACAGTGTCCCACACAGTCTCCAACAGTGTCCCACACAGTCTCCAACAGTGTCCCACACACCTGCGTCCCCACACAGTCTCCGCAACAGGGCAAGTCCTTACAGTCTCCAACAGTGTCCCACACAGTCTCCAACAGTGTCCCACACAGTCTCCAACACAGTGTCCCACACGGTCTCTGTAACAGTCCCACATGTCCCCAACAGTGTCCCACACACGGTTCCAACAGTGTCCCACACGGCTATTCCAACAGTGTCCTGCCACAGTCTCCAACATTAGTGCCCTACACAGTCTCCAACAGTGTCCCACACAACTCCAACAGGCAGTCCCACACAGTCTCCAACAGTGTCCCACACAGTCTCCAACAGTGTCCCACAGTGTCCAACAGTGTCTCCACATGAAACCAAATGCAGTGTCCCACACAGTGTTCAACAGTGTCCCACACAGTGTTCAACAGTGTCCTACATAGCAAGTTCAACAGTGTCCCACACAGTGTCTACAACAGTGTCCCCACATTAGTGTTCAATATTGTCCCACAGGTTCCAACAGTGTCCCACACAGTGTTCAACAGTGTCCCACAGTGTTCAACAGTGTCCCACACAGTCTCCAACAGTGTTCCACACAGTTCCAACAGTGTCCCACACAGTGTTCAACAGTGTCCCACACAGTGTTCAACAGTGTCCTACACAGTCTCCAACAGTGTCCTACACAGCAGCCTGGGACAGGTTCCACACAGTGTACAACAGTGTCCTACAGTGTTCAACAGGTGTCCTGCCACAGTGTTCAACAGTGTCTCACACAGTTCCAACAGTGTCCCACACAGTCCCAACAATGTCCTCCACACAGTCTCCAACAGTGTCTCACACAGTGTTCAACAGTGTCCCACACAGTGTACAACAGTGTCCCACACAGTGTTCAACAGTGTCCCACACAGTGTTCAACAGTGTCCCACACAGTTCCAACAGTGTCCCCACACAGTCTCCAACAGTGTCCTACACAGTCTCCAACAGTAACCCCACACAGCTCCAACAGTGTCCCACACAGTCTTCCAACAGGTCCTGCTACACTTGGTCTCCAACAGTGTAGAAAAGAGGTCCAACAGTGTCCTACACACAGACACACCAGTGTCCCATGTTAAATTCCAACAGTGTCCTGACACAGTCTCCAACAGTGTCCTGGGCCACTAGCCCATAGTGTCCCACACAGTCTCCAACAGTGTCCCACACAGTCTCCAACAGTGTCCTACACTTGGTCTCCAACAGTGTAGAAAAGATGTCCAACAGTGTCCCACACAGCATCTAACAGTGTCCCACACAGCACACACCAGTGTCCCACACTGTCTCCAGCAGTGTCCCCAATATCAGTGTCCAACAGTGTCCCACACAGTGTCTAACAGTGTCCTGTACAGTGTCCAACAATGTCTTACACAGTCTCCACAGTGCCCCACACAGTTCCAACAGGTCCCACACAGTCTCCAACAGGTCCCACACAGTCTCCAATAGTGTCCCACACAGTTCCAACAGTCCCACACAGTCTCCAACAGTGTCTTTGTACAGTGTCCAACAATGTCTTACACAGTCCTTGCACAGTGTCCCACATGAAGTCTCCCCAAATAAGTGTCCTGCCACAGTCTCCAATAGTGTCCCACACAGTCTCCAATAGTGTCCTACAGTTCTCCAATAGTGTCCTGCCACAGTTCCAAATAGTGTCCTACAGCATACACCAGTGTCTCTACACAGTCTCCAGCAGTGTC